TACACATTTTAAATCGACAAATATACGAAAGAAGAATATTTATGGAAAGAAAAATATTAAAATTAATATTTGTCTAGGTGGGATCTATAAATGTGACGTCAGAGAGCGTTCCTTAATTAAAGTAAGACAATTAGGGAGGGGAGGTGGACGAGCCGAATCTCACCCAATCTCATCTATAGACTTTTTTTAATAGTCATATGTGACCAAATTCACAAAAAATATTCTTCTATTTTTTTTTCAGATAACATGTAGCTAAGATCAATCCTGGAATTGCTCTCTGTCTGTTCGAAAAATTTCGTCATAATCCTTTCATGTATTCCAAAGATTAAGCCAATATATATTTTTATTATCAATTTAATTTATTAATGAGAAAATGAAATCACACCGGGTTGTTAAAAATTTGTGTTCAGCGTTTTGTTATATTCCGTAGTCATAATATGATTGAGTTTGGCCATGATTATCTTAGCTAATAAGTAATCAATACACAATTTAAGTTTTCGATTATTTAGTTGAAACTTTGTTTACTTGACTTTCTGTAGACGTGTGAAATGCGGCAATATTGAATTGTAATAAAATTTTTTGCACCTTTCTAGTTATATATTTGAAGAATAAAGTAAAAAAGTACGGTTTTATATAATTAACTGAATAATTCTCATTAAAATGTATATTTTGTGTGGTTTAAATACCACAGTTTAGACATTATCCTTTTTTTTTATTTTTAGCACTTTTGAGATTTTAAGCAGCAAACAAGCTTTGTAAATTCTTTCCTGAATGTTTTTAATTACATTTACTTTATTTTTTAATATACTTTTTGTGATATCTCGATAGACTGAGAATTGGGGTAACTTTGCGTAAAATAATAAATTTTTAATAGGCCTTCCTAAGTGCGTGTCGAAGTGCTAAAGAATAATATATATTTTCACTGTTAAATATTCTATTTCTCAAAAGACATAATATGAATCATATTAAATGTTTTCTATTATTTTATTTATAGAGAAAAGTGAAAGACCCTATAAAATATACACTAGACATCGTAACGAAGCGAGACATGTAACGTCTGCTTGTTATTTGAGTTTTAGAAGAAATGTAGCTAAAACGTATTTATCTGCGTATGTGTGTGTTTGACGAATAAAATTAGTACTTTGAATTTGTAATACATATTTTTAAATAAAATATTATACTATAAGTAACTTTGTGGTAGAGCCACGCTGCAGCTGTATTATAGTTGTAGCACGAATGGGCCAGCTCAACCGGGGCAGGACCACGCTCTCATAGAATACCAGCGTAAAATGCAGCGTAATGCTGCTGTGTTGTGAGTGTAAAGAACCGAACCCCTTTTACTGGAATCGAGGCATTCCATTAAAAAAGGTTTAGTTCTCAGAATGATTGCAGAGATTTTTTCTTGAAAGTCCCTAAGTCGCATCGGTCCAGAAAATTGTTGGTGTGTGTTCTTGTAAACTGCACAGTGGTGGATCGCCCATCATCCAGATGCTATGAATAGTATTGCGAGTTTTGTCTCGATGTGCGATGATGAAATTGAACGGCTGGAATTAGTCCGAACAATTCCTCTGAACACTTAGTAGTTAAAATGAGAATCCACTGGCGAAGGCTTATAATGGATACATCATTGTCACCGCTAACATTTGTATGAAGATTGATCATATATTATTTCTGTAGTTTTCAATAATTTATTTGTTACAGCTACGTATGTAACTATTTTTTTTACAAATTTGAAGTGAATTTTGAAATAACTGTCCAATTGATAAGACGCTACTTCAGTCCATGGACACCTGCAGCCAACTTCAAACAAACAAGGCTAAAGATACTCATCTCTGAGGACTAACATTGAATGCCTCACAGTATGTAGTTATACTGACTCTCTCTATACTTCGAACCGAAACAACGGCGTAACCACCGCTACTTGGCGGCAGAAATAGACAAGAGCGTGGTACCACCCAGACGGACTCCTCGGCAGATAAGCAGTCTTACCACTTGAACGTACATCACTAGTACGGTTTTTTTAAGTTAAAGTTTTATTTTACAAAATGAATGATAGTTTTATTTCTTTTACTGCGAGTCTTTTCTGCAATTTATTCCTAATGTTTAACACTTCTTCAGATAAAATAGCGGGATTTCATCTCATAAGCTGGGATAACGATCCCCTCATATTTCGGTTTCGGGTCTTAATAACGTAGTAAAACTTAAAGGTCTGTGTATGTATTTTTTTGTGAAATAGACTGTGTAATATATATTTCCGTTGACGATATTTGGATGCTGTTTTATATTTATTTTTGGCTCAAATCCAAAAGCAAATATTACAATACTATAAATATGATCGTGTACTAGCGATGTACGAACATAATATACTCGTACTATCTTATATTTCCCACGGGTATCGTAAAAGGTGACAGGGGAGAAACAAACTGGTGCATAATATGGTTCCTAATAATAACAACAAAAATCTGAAAAGCGACCAACTTTGGAACTTCCCGCTTTTTTCGAGATTAAAACGCTCGAAAATCTATTGGTTGATTCAAAGTTAAATCAAAGAAACGATTATTTGGGAAATTATAAATAGCAAAAATTATTGAACGCGTCGTTCCATTTTAACTTACTTGGTTGGCATTCGAAGCAGTTTTTCAAGTGCCTTCGATAACCGGAGTTGATTAGTCAAATATTTTGAAAATTATTTAGAAAACACTTGAAAAAAAAATACTATGTAAAAACTGCAGTTACAAAACCGTCCATCAAGCGTGGCTACTATGACATATACCTCAAAAACCCTCTATAAGCCAATCTATGGAGAAATCTATGTTTAGCAGTGGACTTTTGGTAGACTGCAGCGAAGAACACGAAAATGAAACTGAATTGATCACTTCCGTTATTGCTTGAAATCCCCTTTAAAGCACAGTTTATTTTTTACTGGTGGGGCTACTTTTCCAACTACGACACCATCTCTGCTGTATTTTGGTTTAAAAGGAGAGTTATTTTGAAATGAAACTGTATAGCATTTCATTTAATCCTCAAGTAATCTGTGGCATTTTTCTGTGAAGTTAGTTGTTTCGCTATTTGTTGTACCTTGGGCTGCAGTAGCAAATTATAGCCTCTTGGACTTTTGATGCATGAAACACACTATATAATTGAAAAAAAAATGGTGTGCATTTAAAGTTGGGTGGAATTTGAATTGATCAAAATTTCTTGCCGTTGAAAGTTGATGTTGACGTTGTTTATGTTTGAAGCCATCGAAGCAAATAAAAAGGACTACGTTTGTGCATCTATAAAATATATTTTAGATTGAGAGTGAGCAAAATGTTGCGTCACTCTTGCGGGGCGTCATATTGATAGTGCAAGGTAAAACTAAGGGTATATCGAGAAAGCCCTATTAGTTTGTGCAGTATAAAGTTCACTGTAACATGCAGGAGAGATTCCGTTTAAGTCATTCTACGAGCGCTAAGATATTGTAGTAGTTCTGATCTTTGTGGTAATTTTTCTGGTGCAGGCAAGGCGAACGGTGTTGCTGAAAAGCAGCCCTTTATTACGTTGAGGTAGTGTTGCTGTTTGTTCGCATACTATTTATACGTGGTAGAGCCATGCTGCAGTTATATTAGATGTATAGTTGTAGCACGAATGGGCGGCTCAACCGGGGAAGGACCACGCTCTCACAGAATACTAGCGTGAAATAGTAGCTTAACGCTTCTGTATTTCGTATGGTGAGTGTAGAGAACCGGAGACCCTTTTTCCTGGAAACGAGGCATTCCATCTTATATATATTCCGTCCTCACGGGTGACAATGCATCTGCATTTTGATTCGTAATCGAGGATAGATGTAGAAGTCTACGGGCCACAGTAACCACTTACAATCAGGTGGAGTGTGTGCTCGTTTGTCACCCTATCCTATGGAAAAATGGAACCCTACCATTATTGAAAATGCTGATGAAAAGTGAATCACAAGAAGAACCACAAGGTAAGAACCTGCGAAATAAATCATGGTCAAAGGGTAGTCAAGATCCACCGTTTATGGTGAAACCCGGATTAACACGCGATAAAGTATGGTGAGATTGGGAGGGCATCATTTCTTATGAGCTTTTACTGCCGGGCAAAATTATCGATTCGGATCTCTACTGTCAACAACTTATGAGACTCAAGCAAGAAGTTAGGAAAAAACGGCCGGAATTGATGAACTGTAAAGGAGTGGTCTTTCATTATGACACCGCCAGGTCGCGCACACGTTTAGCCAATCAAATAAAATTGAGAGACCTTATTTGGGAAGCGTAATGCATCCACCATAGAGTCCTAATCTTACAACCGTAGATTTTTACCTGTTTAGATCTCTTCAGAATTGATTATCTATGGAGCAGGGTAGGGTATACGGATAGCTGTAAGCCCTTGTTTAAAAAGTACAATATCTTAACATTAACATGCTTGTACATTAAAGAAATATGCATATTTGTAAAACAACATCCTGAACACTTTGAAAGGCACATAGATGTAACTGAACGAAATGTAGCTCCTAGAAATAAACATAAATTACAGTTACCTCAATGCAGGCTCAAATTGTATGAAAGGAACTCTTACGTAAATGCTATAAAGGTGTATAACAAAATACCCAACGACTTTAAAGAGTTACCTTTAACCATGTTTAAAAAAAGTTGATACAATGGTTAAAAGAAAAATGTTTTTACGACCTAAATGAATTTATGTCTTTGCGGAAAATAAATCCGAAGTCAGTAATATTGATATATATCTAATAATTAATTAATTACAAACAAAATGAAAGTACGGACATTAACCCAGATACTGCGACGGGGCTTTTAAAAGACCCGAAAATATTATTAAAAATACCCTCAAGTTTCGAGTTGTTAAAATGAATTCTCTAAGATATTTGCACTGTCAGGTTACTTAGTACCTATCCGTGTATGATTTCATGCGGTGTTGTTTACAACTAGACACATGTTTATTTAAAGTTTTTGTGTCATTGAAGACTTAGGAGTATTAGTGTCATGATGTCTGGACAAAGGTAAGCTTTTATCATTTATATATCTGGATGTTGTTGCTAATACATTTTGATATTTAATTTTAGATATATTATCTACAATATCAGATTATCTATTTGTTTTGGTGCAACAAAAACTCATTCCTTTTTCACGTTTCAAATTGATGGCCTTTTAAAAGTCCCGTCGCAATATGGGGGTCTGTAATATTATTGTTTTCTTTTTAGCACGCGACCTTTGAGAGCACTCAATCTCAACGATATAGTTGATGAATTAGAGCGATGTGAGGATGATGATTTGTTGCCAACTCAAATTACAATTTTTCCACCTGAGAACGCTAATGCCGACGTCACAGATGAGGATTCTGGAGATGAAGAATTTGTTGCATTGCAAAATCTACCAGGTAAAATATTTGTTTTCGGGTTGATATAACTACGTATCAATGATTCTATCTTGTTTTATTTATATGGTTGCAATATTTATATCTGTTTTTTTATAGGCTCTCAACTGCGAGCTCCAGCCGAGGTCACTTTTCATATGAGTTCCGACGAAGAAGATGATGTACCTTTGTCAAGTTTGTCAAAAAGAAGACGCACGATGGATTTGACTTTAGAAGATAGTGACGCCGTACCTACTTGTACTTCAGATGTGTCAACTAATTCTACATTTGTTCAGCCTACAGTTCCCCGAAACCAAACCTATAGATGGAAGAATCGTCATATTCCAAACCATTTCAATCAATGGAATGACGAACAAGGTCCAAAAAACTTACAATCACCCTTACATTATTTCGACTGCTTATTCAACAACAATGTTATTGAATTACTAGTGCGATATACCAATATGTATGCAGGACAGAGGAATAAAGTGGGCAAAGTAACTGTTTATGAAATGAAGTGTTTCTTGGGCATCCTTATGTACAGCGGGTATGTAGTAGTACCCCGTAGGTTTATGTATTGGGAGACACCGACAGATGCCGACTTTAGGATTGTGCACAACGCTATGTCAAGAGATCGTTTTACTTTTATTATGTCAAATCTCCTCTGCTGTGATAATACAGTTCTTGGTGATTCTCCTGACAAATTCGCTAAGTTGAGACCTCTGTTTGACGAGTTAAATAAAATCTTTACTGAAATGGCTCCGCTAGAAGAGAACTACAGCATAGATGAGGCTATGGTTCCATACTATGGACGTCATAGTTGCAAACAGTTTATACGTGGCAAACCAATTCGTTGGGGGTATAAACTGTGGGTTGGTGCTACAAGATTAGGCTACGTGGCGTACGCTTACCAGGGAAAATCTTCAACCATTGCAGAAGGTTACAAACAGTTTGGTCTAGGTAGGAGTGTGATTTTGGAGTTTGCTGATGTTCTACAAGGTCGTGATCCAACATTGCCATTTCATTTATTCTTCGACAATTATTTTTCCTCTATTCCTCTACTGCATGAACTTAGTAATAGAGGTCTGAGAGCCACTGGAACTATTCATGAAAACAGAACGTCCAAGTGTCCTCTCGAGTCTAACAAAGATTTCGAAAATATTGATAGAGGTTCATTTGTATTCAAATCCAGTTTGCCTACCAATATTTTGGTTTGCAAGTGGAATGACAATAGTGTCGTTACTGTTGCCTCGAATACTGAAACTGTGGAGCCCCTGCAAAAAGTCTAGAGATTTTCGCAAGAACTAAAAATATTTGTACATATTGACCAACCGTCGGTTATAAGAAAATACAATGAAAATATGGGAGGGGTCGATAGACCCGATCAAAACAAAGGGTTGTATCGAACTTCTATTCGGGGCAAGAAATGGTATTTTTCACTGTTTTGTCACACCTTAGATATGGCTGTGCATAATGCGTGGCAACTTTACAAGCGAGAAGGTGGAGAACATGATCATCTCACTTTTCGTAGACTACTGGCGAAAGGTTTGCTCGAAAGATACAAAAAAAAAGCGATAAGAGAGGACCATGTACCACAGGTAGATCTCAACTTGAATCATATGATGGGGTTGATCACTTGGTCCAGTACAGCGTTCCCCAACTAAGATGCAAAGTTTGCAAAGTTAAAAGTTTTTTTATTTGCCAAAAGTGTAAGATTCATTTACATCCTAAGAACTGTTTCCTTGAATATCACACTAAAACTCAGTAAAGTTAGTGAACTTTACTGACTTTTAGTGTGATATACTTAGTGAAGTGCTGTTGTTTTATTGTGAGACATCATATCACATAACTTGCTATACCTATGTCTATTTTCTTTTGTATAGTTAAAATTTACCGTAATAATAAAAAACTAATATAATAACAGTTTGTTTTATTATTAGACCGCCACATACATGTAAACAATCCCCATATTACGACGGGACTTTTAAAAGCCCACCCTTTTTCCGGCTTTTCTGAAAACATGTAATTTTTTTTACTATTTTTCCTGGTTATTATGAGTCATTTTAACTATCATATCCGAATATCACCAAGATCAAAAACAAAAAATGGTTACAGTAACATCTGGGTTAACAATTAAGAACAATCATTAAACAATGTGACATTTTAATTGATTTCCCACTTGTCGTTAATTTTTTTTGCATGTATACTTATAAAATATTTGCACGCCATATAAAGCGGTAGAATGTGAATGGTCCATTATACACAATTTAAGATCATACTTTATTGTACACATACATTCTGGCAAATAAATGAATTTGAATTTTTTGTTTATTATTTATATTTGTTTATTATTTAGAATAGGAAAACATTTATTTAACAAACACAGACTATTAGAGATCTGAAGTTATTTTAAGAAAAACATCAAAGCGTCATCTGTGGAGTTGGTATATGGGTAACCTTTCCGCTTTCTAGGCGAATTATTTGTCACAAAGATCGAAGACACCAGTGACGTAACAGACTAGTTATCATGAATGCACTAAATGTACTAATGTGTTAATCTTAACACCACAATCACATACAAATCACATACTGGTGATTGGTGATGAGTAATATTTCCAGTGTAAAAGTCACGGTAGCCAGTCTCAACGGAGGTTACCTGATTATTTATTCTTTTGACTGCCTTTATTATTTAGGTTCGGATCCCCCGGGTCGAGCCAATATCAGTTATGCTTTTCTGTTAAGAAATTCTCAGGGGCAGCCCGGAGTCAGGAAGTTGGTGGTGTTCACCCCCGAGCCTCGGAAAGCATGTAAAGTCGGTGGTCTTGCGCCTTCTCTCTCCCCGGTCGTGTCGGATTGCCGATCGACTATGAAAGTGCGGGATTAGAGGGTGCACCTGTGTTTGCGCACACACTCGTGTACAGTAATTCTGTCCTGTGTAGATGACTAGTCTCCATTGATGTAATAGTATCCAAAACACTTTATTGCAAATAATATTTATTTTTATTGTAATAATCCTTTAAAAAAAATAAAGACCTAAATCTTTTATCGGTTTCGTATTTGTTTTTAAAAGTACGTAATTGAGAATAAGCGTGTCAGGATTGCTCTAAATGGAAATTCGTACTCTCTGCTTGCTGCTGGGTGTGAGAGTTTGTGCTTACGGTGATTATGCACTGTATTGAATAACTTATGGTTTACTAACTAGTATTAAAAATCATTTGATTATCTGTGTTTTCCATATGTTTTCACTGTAAAAATATATTTATAATGTTATAAAATATTGTTTTCGATTAAATATTGAAAAACAACTATTATCAAATGCATGGCATAAGGTCATTACAAAGATTGTAAAGCTGAGAATGTGTGTCCTAGTAGTCTGATAACCTGTCTAAGTTGGTTACTTTGTAATAAGTGATTTCAGAGACGTATAATCACTTGACACCATCGGATATAGTAACATTTTGAACTAATTTGTGATGACATGAATGAATCGTATTCACATTATTATTCACCCGGATACTGCATTAAAATTTAGATGCGATAAAATGCAGAGTACTAAATAAGTAAATATAAATATTTTAATTTGGACAAAATGTAGCCACGACTCGGCAACCGGATGACATCTTCCCCATTCTAACTGTCAGATTAACATTGTCATAACGACTCTGAATCCGGTTACGGTCGGCAATTTCCCGTACGGAACATCTTAAAGGAAAATATACTGTTTGTTATATCCCACTGATAGTTGGGTTTTCTTCTAAGATTTATAAATTAAATCTTATTAGTTATTACGATAAAACTTACGATGAAAATACCGTAGTTTTAATTTTACACTATGTGTACGCAACAGATTTTTTATTTATTTATTAGCATTAAATATATTGTTTATAAAATAGTGCTTTTTATATTTCAATGTTTGTAATTTTAAATTTTCTGTGTAATTAGTACTTTTGTGAAAATTAAGAAAAATCATGTTGCTTCCTAACAGTCTGTCTATGATAATGATATGAAAAATGATAGTTGTATTCAAGCAGGGTTCAATAACTTCTTTGTACGTGGTAGAGCCACGCTGCAGCAATATTATAGCTGGAACACAAATGGTTGGCCCAAAAGATAACGATCGAAGAGTATACCAATGTAAAATAGCAGTATAATGCTGTTATATTCATGGAGAGTGATAAGGCCGTAGATCCTTAAAAAGTAACGAAGCATAGTACTTAGGAGTGACACCATGACTTTGATTCATAATCGAATTGCATAATCTGTATCGATGTATATGTATGCTGCTCACCGGCTGATGACAAAACTAATGTTTATGATTACATTTTTATCCTAGGCATCTGGATTTCTTTTTTCTTATTCAAAGACAAAACACTAAATCAAATACGTAAAATTATATACATATTGTGACACAAGTAGATTTTAGTAACGTTTTTAGTACCGTACCCACTATAGGAAAATAGTGACAGGATCAAATAAAAGCTATTAATATTAAATAAAGCCAATCTTTAATTTGCCTTTTTACTGCATAATTCATTCAAAATCTGTGTCTGAATTACGGCAGAAGTGGCCAATAGGAAAACCGTATTGTAATGCTAGTAATTTACTAGTAAATCTCTGAACCATAAAACGCTGTCGACCGCAACGCAGTGATTGATTTCTTCTTTTAGGTTCGCTTTAAGCACACTGTATTTACAAATTATTTTGAAACTGAAGAAATTCAAATACGTATTATACGTGGTAGAGCCATGCTGCAGTTATATTAGTAGTACAGTTGTAGCACGAATGGGTCGGCTCGACCGGGGAAGGACCACGCTCTCACAGAAGACCAGCGTAAAATAGTAGCTTAATGCTGCTGTGTTTCGTATGGTGAGTGTAGAGAACCGATGACCCTTTTTACTGGAAAAGAGTAGTCCTCACGGGTGACAACACATCTACATTTTGATTCGTAATCGAGGATATATGTAGATGTCTATGGGCCACAGCAACCACTTACCATCAGATGGACTATGTGCTCGTTTGTCACCCTGTCCAATAAAAAAAAACGTTAGTTTTTGTTTATAATATAGCTATGTGTTACAGTACATCGAGTCTCATTATTAAAAAAAAACTATCCAATGTGTTTCATAAACATGTCAGAAATATTGCCAGCGACATTTTTGCCGCAATATTAGTGTGCAGAATATAGCCTTACAATGCTGCAATTATATTGCCAAGCTATTGAGTTCATATACGTAAAACAACATTAAAAACAGTAAAATGGCGGCCACCGAAGTTGTGGATTGAATGCTGCAGCATGTATCGTAATGTATTATTTATAAACATTACCAAATAAAGAAACCATACGTGGATTTAGATTATACGCGTAATGTTTATAACCCTCTTAGTAGACCACGTCGTTATGAACAACAAACAAAACTATTAGTAATTAGATACTTTCATCAGTATAATATGTACATTGTCAACATGAATTGAATAAGGTTGGCGCTGATGTGTAAAGCGCAAAGGATTCGAGGCAAGGACTTGGATGAGGCGAGGAAAGGGGCTGAACTTCTAAAAAAAAAAAAAACATTGTCCTGGCAATGTTGCAGTAATTTTCAAGGCGGTCTTACACCCGTAAACGGAAGATATCAATTGCACACTGGCATTATTCGCGTAGTGTATATAATCTTTGACACTGGATAATATATGCACAAACATAGGAGCATAGTAAGTTAAGGTTTAGTTGATTTGTTACTATCTTATTTTAATGCATTAATTATATTATTAATGTTATTATTCATTGATTTTATGTATGGTAAATAAATCAAACACGCAGAAATAAAAAAATATGAAAATAAAATCATTCACTTTCAAATGGAGTTAGCAAACTTGTATTCAATGAATCGCATCACCTAACATTTATTTTTAAGAATACATCATTTTGATATTTCCTTACCAATCGTTTTCAGAGTTATAAATTAATTAAAATTATACTACAAAATAAAAATAAAAAATTACTAACGTGTGCGCCTTGCAGAGGCTGCTTAAGGATATCCACTAACATATATCATCCTGGGGGAGTAAGAGGTGCCTCACGGAGGGAATCTAAATCAGAAGATGGGCAGCAATAATTGGCAGCAGAAAGAACAAAAAAAAATTCCTGAGAAAAACTCAAATTAAAAGAAATTGCGATTGACAACACTTGAAATATTTGCCACTTATCAAACGTGGCAACTATGGCAAATATGATGAAAATTCGACATGCAAGGTTTGTCACGTATGATACAATGAGGCCATCTATGGAGGAGAC